GTCTCCGACCATTGGTTACGTTAGTCGCGCGGACCCCAATCAAGTAGTCTGCATCTGCCAACATGGCTCAGACTGGAAGTTAGTGACTTCAAGCACTAATGCCATGTTTTGGTTTGGACGCCCTTAACTTTCTTCCAACCATCCCCTACACTAGTCAGCATAACGCATCGTGGTAATCGGTGTTCAGGAATACGTAATCGTGGCCCAACCATCTCAGTCGATGGAGATTCACAACCTCATCAACTGATTTACCATCATTCTTTAATACCTTGTGTCTAACCTCAACATTACTTACCCGGTTATCCCAGGAGATGCAAACAATATTTCTAAGACATCTGCAGTCAAAAACCCCCTTGTGATAATTATCATATGCTCACTAGTGACTGGCTCCTTGAGGTAATTCCTGGAGTTCTAGTGAGAAGTCGTGGCCAGTGGAGCTAATCAGGTAGAGACAGGTATCTACCTCAGTACATAGGAAGTTGGTTGCGCAATTTCGTGGATTGGTTGAGGTTATGCATTAACACCGTTGGATGCCAGCTCAGTGGTCTATCGGTTAAGGGCTCTGGCTCGAAACTGTTAGGTCCTGGGTTCGAATCTCGCGAGAGCGGGTTCGTGGGTGCGCACTGCTGAGGAGTCCCATAATAGGACGAAACGGCCGTCCATGTCTTCCAGGTTTTCCACGGTGGTCTAGCTTCAATTGACTCACGATCTTAACTACAAAATTACTAAATATTCACAAAAAACCCCCTTGTGACAAATACTAGTAGCTTACGAGTATCTTCTATTCCTAATGGTCACGTTTTGCAGCTGTAAAGTACAACAGAGCGTCCCATAATTGGTAGACGCATATTTCTTGTTTGCCATAGGTGACATAAGTTGGCATAAGCCAAAGGACGGATTAAATGAGTTAATGCAAAGACTGATTTTGATATCAGCTGGCATACTTTTAACCTACTTTTACGCCACTTAATATTATGTTCCAAGATAGGAGACATTTCTTTTTATTCATTATAAAAGTATTATGTGACTGATTGAGAATTAGACTGTTATACAAGTAATGATAAAATATTGAACAAATGAATACAGTAATAAACGTGTTATGTCTATAATTAAAACTGAAAATTATAAAATTGCAATCTGATAATTATTTGAAAGAATATTGAAATTTTTAAAAAATATTCATCATAGAAAACAATTTCATTTTATCTTATCAAAATAATAATAATAATAATAGTAATAAACTATTGGTTTTGATAGGTATCATTATCAAGGTTTGACTTGGTAATCTCAAATAAATTGAGGAATGGGTAGATCATTATAAACAAAAATAAAATATTAATGATATCTCAATGAACTCCGCCTATAGCTCTTCTAGAGTTAATGCTGGTTACAAGCATGGGTAACGGAGGAGGGTTGGGCATGTCGTCAGCAACCCCATTCCATAGAAAAACTAACTCGCTAAAAAACGCTAACCAGAAAAATTAATTCAAGCCATTTAAACTCTGTCCTGTGAGCTGAGGAAATAATTATGACGCCTCATGTTGAAAGCCGAAATTTTTCGGAAGTCACGAGGCCGATGCACCTTCTAACAACCAGAGCAACACTCCATATAGGTACATGGAACATCCAAACAATGTGGAAGATCAGTTAAATAGCAATGAAAATGAGGAAATACAAATTGGCAGTGCTTGGAATCAGCGAAACCCATTGGACACATGCTGGACAGCAAAGGCTAGGTACGGTAGAGATGCCGCTGTACTCCGGTCACGAAGAAGAAAATTCTCCACACACTGCTGAATAGACAAGCCCAATTGAACCACCGGACATTGAAGCAGCGCACACAGATTTGGGAAGAAAAATAAGTGCCGACGGACTGGAAGGAAGAATGCCTCATCAAGATACCAAAAAAAGGAGATATGAACATATGTGAAAATTACAGAGGCATCAGTTTGTTATCAGTACCAGGAAACGTTTTCAACAGAGTGTTGCTGAACCGAATAAAAAATGCAGTAGACGCCCGACTTCGAGATCAACAGGCTTGATTCCTTAAGGATCGGTCATCTAAACACCAAATAACGACACCACGAATCATCGTTGAACAATCATTTGAATGGAATTCGTCGCTATACATCAACTTCACTGATTATAAAAAGGCGCTTGACATTGTGGACAGGAGAACATCATGCGAAATTCTTCGACACTATAGAGTTCCTGAGAAGGTTGTCAACATGATCCGGAACTAATACGACGGAATACAGTGCAGAGTCATGCATGGAGGACAGCTGACAGATGCATTTACAGTAGGAACCGGAGTCAAACAAGGCTATGTACTCTCCTCCTTCCCTTTTCTTCTGGTGATTGACTGGGTTATGAAGACTTCGACATCTGAGAGAAGCACGGAATACAATGGACATCTCAGAACCAATTAGACGATTGGGACTTCGCAGATGACCTAGCCCTTCTATCCCATGCATACGAACAAATGCAGACGAAGACAAAAAATGTAGCAGCAGCTTCTGCATCAATAGCGTTCAACATACACAAAGGAAAAAGCAAGATTTTCAAATACGACACGGAGAATGCCAAGCCAACCACACTTGATGGCGAAATTCTAGAAGATGTAGAATCATTCACATACCTGGGAAGCATCACAGATGAACAAGAAGGATCTGATACAGATGTAAAGGCAAGGATCGGCAAATCAAGGACAGCATTCCTACAATTTAAGAATATATTGGACTCAAAACAACTGTCAACCAATATCAAAGTGAGAATCTTGAATACGAACTTCAAGAACGTTCTACTGTGCGGAGCTGAAACGTGGAGAACTACTTATACCATTATCAAACAAATACTGGTATTTGCAAACAATTTAGAAGGGGATTTGTGTTGCTAGTAATAAGTGGTGCTATTTAAACTTGGATTAATTTAACCTGGTTATTTATTCTCTGAAGAAGTGACTTACATTGAGTTACGAAACACCAGAAAATTTAATCTTTCTACTCATTGGGATACTATAAACATAGTATTTTTATTTATATTGGTTTTGATATTTAACTGACTAGGTATAAGAATAAATTTAGATGATTACTAAAAAATCTCAAAATAATGTTTTCAATTTTGATTGATAATTAAGGCGTAACTGAAAACTTAGTTTGGGCAACTGACTTTCGGCCATCAGATTGAATCTCATTCTCATCAAATCAAGTGGAATATGATATTAGTTATTACTACTATTGCTACTACTGCCACATAGGATAGACTGGTTGTGACCAGCAGTAAAATTTAGGGTGCTTATTTCGTTCTATTTAGGGCTTGTATCTTAATTTCTGTGTTAATGCCGAAGTTAAATAACAACATTAAAGCTTTCCCTGTAAAATACCTGGATGTTAACAAAGATTGGTCAGAAATTCCGCTGAAAATATAAACAACGGGATCATTGGATGACATATGTAGTATTATTACAGACGTGAATAAAGAACTCTAGTAATAATATGAACAGTGATTAATGAATGTGTTTTTGATGGTGCTGAATTAACTGATCAGGATAATAAGGCTTTGATTCTATCGTTACAGAACATTAAACATTATTACTTGGTGAATACTTCTCAATTAAAAGGCAATCAACTAAATTTCTTGCATTATTTCACAGCTTAATTCCATGTTCATTTCAAATTTTATCTAAATATTATATTCGTTGGCCAACTATTCCATAGACGAAATTAGCCATAGAGTACTAATAATAATGTGTGAATAACATACTCAACTTATTAATCTATATATTAGTTTTCGACTCAGATTATTTGAAGGAAACTTGTCTCAAATAATATTACAGTTAATATTCATTGAAAATAAATTAGAGTCATTGTTGAATATATTTAACAAATGAGATTGGTAATAACATAGACTGAAACAAAACAAAAAAGAGAAAGGCCAAATAACACACTGCTTTGAGAATTGGAAGCAAACGTAAAAAAGATGAACAGCAGCTGGAAAAAACTGGAAAGGATTGCCTAGGACAGAGTTTGATGGAGAATGCTAGTGAGTAGCCCATGAGGGGTAGAAGGCGTATGTAAATAAGTAGGTACTAACGTTAGTTTGAACTTTAAATACCTTACTCCAATAATCGACAATTAAATATAAATAGGGATAATTGGCTTAGGTTCTGAAATTATATCTTCCTAAAATTGCAATTTCGTTTTTAATATTAAGGATTATAGGTTTTACCATGGTATCAATTGTGAATATTAGAACATAATATCTTCAAACTTATAATCAATTACGCTTTCTGTGTACTACAAACTTTAGATTATATGTTTAAAAATTCCGACTTCACTCTGTAGTCTATGATAAATTAGTATGACACTATCGCCTTCTTTTTGAAGAATTTAAATATATCATAGAATTCACTAATTAGATTCAAGTCTATGGACCATTATTTTAAATGTTACTTACGATTATGTTCATTCACAAAATTGAATGGTCATTCAAAAAGTACTAGAATGAAATATACATCCTAAACTAAATCATCGTTTATGACCTCGTTCAATCAAGGAATGATCATCATGATTGTGATCACCAGAGAATATTTTTATCCTCCAAAAAGAGAATTCTTTGATGATTCAAATTTACTGTTTTACAAAAAACAAACCATTAGTAAATCTAATGAAATAATTACACGTATGTTAAACTTCATTTCCTTTCTTTACTTGAACATTATCACAATAGGTTATAGGTTAAGACAGTTAAGTCATTTCATTAACCAGTAGTTTTTGTTAATTGAATAATCTTATTAGTGATTCACAATCAGCCTATTTACCTCTGTTTATACCTGGATCACCTTAAGTGGTCTTATAAACAAAACGGTAATAAATAGCATGTGTTTATAAAGTAATAACAATAATAATACGTCGGTTGTAATGTAAAATGATTTACCCAACTGCCATGTACGTTTAATTCAAAATAATACGAATAATAATAATTATTATAAAAAAACTTACTGCAATAATGAAAAATGGTAACCAGCATAGACAAAAACATCCCATAATAATTCCAAGTGTTTTAACAGCTTTTGATTCATTTTGATGACGTGAATTACGTTTTTTCACCGGTGGCAATTTAGGACACACCCAATTTGTGCCAACTAAACTTCCTGGTTGATTAACCATGACGAAATTTTCTGTCTGATTAGAACTAAAGGACATTTGATATATATTGATGTGATTAACTTTCCCATTGTTATTATGATTATCATTAGTATTCATAGCATTTTCGTTATCATTTGTAATTGTTGTAGTGGTTGTAGTTGTCCGGGTATTTGTGAACAAACCCAAAGAGTTTTGTGCATCTTTTCTAATGTTACGATTAATTATATGATTCCAAGGAAAATTATGTGATGTAGACGGTGAACTACATCGTCGATCAATTGCATAATTAGGTAAATCTAATATAAATGGACGATTTATGGGTATATATTCATTGGCTGTAGTAAATGATCTTCTTGGTGTATGAAATGGTCTCTGTCGTGGACGTGCTGGATGCATTGTAGTAGATTTAGGTCCAGTTAATGATGTACCACATGATGATGAATAGTAAAAATCTCTCTTTATATCACTAATACCTGTAGTAAATGGCATATCAGTATTATTAACTATTAATGGAGTAGTTTCTTGCGATATTAACATTAAATTACTACCATATTCCTCAAGGTTATTTTTATTATCATCTCTATGATTATCATTAGAAGTATATGGATTTGGTGCAACCTCAGAAATTTGTGTTAAGCTATTCATATAACTAGATTCATCAAAATAATGTGATACTGATAGGAGAGGTGGCGAAAATATTGAATTTCTCGATCGGTTAGAATCAGTCAATAATAGAGGCTTATTTTTAGGTATCAGTGCCACCGGTTGTTCTTGTTGTTGTAAACTACCATTATTATCATGGATATTATTCAAAGTATAAGTATTTAAAGATGAGAAATTTTCATCCTCTTTATGATCATTACGATTTTTTAATTGTGTTACACTAATAGTAATTGAATGTCTTGTATATGGGGCAGCGAAAAATTCCGCTCTTAACTGTTTCAATTCTTTAACATGTTGTTCAAACTGTTCAATAGACGACATCGTAGATGAGCATTCAGAAGTACCAGTTGGTTTTTTTACATTCTTCACATTAATATCCACTGATTTTTTAATAAGGAATTCATCACCATAACTAAGTCTTCTTAATGGACGTGGTTTACGCCGTCGACATAATTCTGATGGGGGTAAAGGATATTTCTCTTTACTGGAGTTATTAGATGAATAAACAATATTATTCTGTTCATTATTAAGCGGTAATAATACGTCAGATTTGTTTTCTATCATGTTGGTTGTCGTTGTGGTGGCAGCAGATTGTTTTAATTTTTGCATATGTTCGAATTTCAATTGTTCTGGTGGTTCACTTTCGAAGGAACTATGTGCATTCGTTTGTGTGACCGATTCCGCAACACGTTGTTGTTTAGCATCAGCATGTGCCATATTACGTGCTAATATAAGTATACGTCCATATAATATAAGCATTACAATTAATGGAATATAAAATGCACCACATGTAGCATAAATTTGATAAATAATATTTGAACTATATTCACATAAACCAGTAACAAAGGGTTCTTTAAATCCAAACATTGGTGGTATACTAATCAATGCTGAAAATAGCCATACTAATATTATCATTATCATCATACGTTTTGGTGTACGTTTTGCTGCATAACGTAGTGGACGAGTAATTGCTAAATATCGATCAATTGATATAGCGCATAAATTTAAAATTGACGCTGTACACATTAATACATCAAATGAAATGAACAAATCACACATACCTTCACCAAATGGCCAATAACCATATAATTCACGTAATGTTGCAAATGGTTGAACTAATAAACCAACTAATAAATCACTTACAGCTAAGCTAACAATTAAAAAATTACTTGGTGTACGTAATTTTTTTACTAATCCAATAGCTAAAACTACTAAGAGATTACCAATAAATGTACAAATACTGCAAATAGTTAAAAATATACCGATTATAATCATTGTGTTGACAAATGGTGTTGATAATAATACTTCTTTACTTTTATTCATACTAGTACTAATATTAATATTATTATTAGTATCCTCAATCGGTATCATTTTTCTTCTTTTTCTTCTTCTCTATCTCTCTTATTTATTGATTTTGATCAATTTTGTTGATTGCGTTTATAGTGATCAAAATTGTTTCTTTCTATTTTTGTCTTCATTTATTTTGATCTTTGATTTTATTTAAGTTTTATTTTTTTTTAAATTCATGATTAATTTCCATATTTAATTGTATTGACAAATAGTATCCATATGCATTTTCATTGTATTATATGCTTAGTAATAATAATAGCTACTATTATTATTATAGGTAAGATCAAATTACATCCTGCATAAGTAGTATAGTACGTTTTTACGTAAATATGTATAGGTATATAGATAAATATTATGATGTATTTAGAATCTCATATTATTGAACATTGAAAGTGGTTAAACAAATTGGAAATAAAAAAAGATGATTACAACGATACATTTGTATAGGTGAAGTTGATCCGTAATTTTTGATCCATTATAGATCTATATAATGACAATTTAATTAATATAAGATATATATATATATATATATATACAAATACATATTAGTTACTGATACATACAAACATATACACAATGAATGATTATTATTATTCGCCTATTGAAAAAAAAGTAATCACCATAGTGTTTAAAGAATTTCATTGGTCAGACTAATCTATTATGTATGTCTGATAATAAACACGTGAGTATAGATTAAATTCAAATTGTAGTTATGTTTGCATGGTATTAAATATTGTCTAAACTATAAATCATCTATTTCTTTCATTCAAAAAAAAGAAAAAAAAATTGTGTACACATAGAAACAAGAAAATAAAAGAGGAAAAATTACTGTTTATATTGGTTCTTCTCTTATTCTTTTAAAGGGTCAAGTTTCTTAGAGGAAATGTACTTTAATGTTTTATATATAAAGTATGTCTATATATATATATATATATATATATATATATGATTTGTAAAAACTCAAAAAAATAAGAACATAGTAACTTATTTCACTTACATGGTGTTCAGTCAAGTTTGGAAAATCCATCAACAAATTATCATCTCTTTATTCCATTCATTTGGTATTGTTTGCATGTATCCCTCTATGTTATTATTATTATAAGTAGTAGTAGCGGTAGTAGTAGTAGTAGTATTACACACATGACATACAAATATACATCTACTGACCAAAAATATCAGCTTTGTGTGCATAGGTGTTTTCTTATATGTACAGGGAAACTTTATTCGTTGGAATAGAAGATAATTTATGAAGAGTTTTTTCTTGAAATTACATATCATGTTAATTGAGAGTTTTAAGGAAACATACAAAAATCTATTTCAATCAATGAGTTTGAATATCTTCAATTCATGCTATATTTCGTAAATAAGTCTAAATAAAAGCAGCATCTAGTTCCTTTCCTTGGTAAAGAGGCCACAATTACAATCAAACATCAGTCTTCTGTATATATATATATATATATATATATATATATATACCGCTGAAAGATTTCCATCATATTAAAACAAAATTATCTGAACGAAGAATATTATTTTCAATAATTTCTTATCACGTTTTGTCAAGTCCAAAGACAAAACATCTTACTCGTAGCTCTTTAATATTAACAGTTTAATCCTTGTACCTACTTTTTGAAGTACATAATCCATTGAGTTGTTACCACATGAAAAAACTAACACCAGCATATATCACTGTCTATTTCTTATTTTAATCGCTGAAAAATTTCCATCAAATTAAAACAATTATATGAACGAGGAATATTCTTTTCAATAATTTCTAATTAGGTTCTACAATTATCATATCCAAATTAACAATCCATAGAAAATTGGCCAAGTTTAAGGCAGAGTACATCGTTTAAGAAACTGTAACATACGAATCAAGGATTGTTTGTCATATCAAATAAAATCGAATCGTCTATGTTGGAGCTGACTACTATGAAGTGTTAACATGAACCAGTTTATAAGTGAAATAAAGTCGTAAGATAAATGATCAGAATAAATATAGTTGATATGGGGTGAGATAGAATAATGGAACCACAAATCAGAAATTACGTAATATGTCGAATTATATGACTTAGGTCAGATATAGTAGATAGGGGTGGATACTGAATAAATTTCTCTAAAAGGTTAGCTAGTGTGATAATAATAATAATGACTGGTAAGATGAGTAGATAAAATAAGTTTATGATATAAAAATGAACATTGATCAAATTAATGTCACCATATTATAAAATTGATTATTAACAAGTTGACCCTGAAGTTGGCCAGAGTAAAAGGAGCGACTAGACATTTTTCTTTTGGATTCAAAGCTCTGGTTTTTTGATCCGAATAGCGATTGCCTCAGCCGTCTGCAGTATTCTCATTCTGACGGGATTAGGTAGACTGCTGTTAACACGATATATTATTGTGAAAGATTGCTCCATATTGGCTCTGTTCCGTCTGACATATATATATATATATATATGTTATTTAGAGCATTCGATGTAGATACTGCAGAATTGTCTGAAAATAATGGAAAGTATATGATGAATAGTGGCAAAATTTGCAATTTTTATATGATAAATAATGAAATTGTTGTGTATTTGATTACATTTAGTTAACATTCTGTTGGGGCGATCCTGAAAATTACTCGCAATAGACATGACAAGCTCAGGAGACATTAGGAGGCACTTTATCACATTCGATCGAGAGGTTTTAATGAAAATACAAAGTGATAGTAAGTAGATTTTATTAACTAACGATGTAGCTATTCATAATCATAAATTTAATGATTTTTATCTGTTGCTTGATTCAAACTCTTTAAAGCAATACTACTGTGGTGCGTGCTACTGATGTCGACAGATAAAAGTAGTGTGTATCGCCAATCGAGAGTGGAATACTCGGCGACAGAAAGTTGAGAAAATCAAAGCGAGTGACAACAATGAGTGGTTGCTATGGAGACGAAGAAGCAACAAAATCTGAGACAGCTGATGGATATTTTGCAAATAAAGTATTGACCATCTGGATCTCAGATTTTAGAAAGATATTCTGTAATGCATTAAAGTACATTTAGTTGTCCCTCTCTGTGTTTTCGATCACTACACTATTACTTTTTTATTGCAAATTTTGTGAGCAAACTATTCCTATAAGTACATAAGTTTCTGAAGGAAATCAGCTTTATTTATCACAATTTTGTCTACTTTGATTCGGGTCGAGTTACACTGCAAATGTATATAGAAGGCAATTACAGATAATTCTTTTCAACATAAATAAAGGAAAATCCATTTTATTAAGCCACAATTTAGGAATAGACTAAGAGATGAATAAATATAGCAACTATTACAAATCAAATCATTTGCCTAATTTTTATATCTTCACAAGAAAATTAGACATAACCTTTGGTGAAGATTAAGTAGACAGCAAAATAATTCAGTCATAATTATTTATTTACAAGTAAAGAGTGTAGACCGAATATAAACATCTGTCATAATATTTCATAACAATAACAAAATATATTCAGTAAGGTACAAACTATACATAGACTATTTGTCACAGGGGTAATATATTAAAGGAGCTAATAATACTATTTGGATACTTGCGTTTTAAAAAATGTTTTGGACTGGACTTTAAAACTTGAATAAAAGTCTAATGCACACGCGTGAGACTGATAGGTCTTGAGTTCGGATCTTGAGAGGTGGGATCGTGAATGCGCACTGTTGAGAAGTCACACAATAGAACGAAACGACCTTCCAGTGCTTCGAGGTTGTCCATGGTGGTCTGGCTTCAATTGACTCATGATTTCAACTATAAAATTATGAATAAATCTAGGTTTTACAAAAGAACAAAACTAATATTAATTTACATAATAAAACATTCATAACTAAGAAAATTAATTAATTCAGAATAAATCAATCATGATGTACAACATTTTAAAAAAAATATAATCCCACTTAGAAATAAGTGAACTAAATAGACTAGTGCTAGATGTGATACGAGTATTTGTCTACAATATAATATACTTCAATGAATAAATTTGTCAAAAGGGGGTTTTGTGGAGATTTTAGTAATTCTATGTAGTTGAAATCATGATTCATTTGAAGCTAGACCATCATCGAAAACCTGGAAGCACTCGACGGCTGTTTCGTTTTGTAATGAAATGTTGTTTCCTTTTACTCTTATGAAACAAAGTAATTATGAATAAAATGTTGTCATTATTCATTATATCAAAGTTTATTTCAGTTTATAAAAAACATCAGACAAACTAGACTGAGAGTTAAATACAAAACTACAGGAGAAGAGGTTTTGGTCAGATTTTATAAGTGGGTAAATAAAGGTCATTATTAATGAGACTAAAATAGATTGAATAATAATAGTAATAATAATAATAATATAGAGAATGAAATGAGTGATTGTTATTGAATTTGGAAAATTAAGGATAAGATAACACGTAATTTAAAGATGTGAAGGTAATAAATAGGTAACGAAACACCACTAAACAATAAGTGAAGGATAATACAGAAATAGAGAGGGATATAGAACTATGTCAATAAAGTAACCAAAAAAATTGTTTTTTGTATACTTAAATCTGACTTTATCATCAAAGTTTCTAGGAAGAATAATTGTATTCACCTTCAGGCAGTCTTAAATCATGAGTTCGATACTGTGTGACCATTTGATATTTTCTTGTAGGAAAGATCTATATGAACAACTCCATAGAAATAGGTGAACAAATAAACGCTTATAAAATTGCTTCGGTGAGATAATTTGCTATATATACAAGTGTTCACCATTGAGATTCGACTGCAGAATGCTTCCAGTAAAGGTTTATGTAATGTCGACCAAACATTTATCTAGGGTTACTTTGAAAATATAACACTCACATTCCAGATGGGCGTATATATTCTTTTTCAGTACAACTATGAATTTCGAATCATTTCTCGTATATTTTCCATATATCATCATAAACTTTAGAAGATAACCATCGTCAGTAAAATTATGTTTAACAGATAAAAGTTACTCTTACATTTGGTATTCTGTGCATATTTTTGTGCTGCGAGAACTGATGGAATGAATGAGATATATTTTTTGTAAATTTCATCTAAATCAGATTTGCCTTAATTTCCAGCATACCCTCATGTGGGTAGAATGTGTAGGAACAAATTACTGGGTTCTACTTCTTTTTTTCCAGAGTAGATTAGATGAATAGGTGAAAGTCATTAAAAGTCTTTACTCAACTTTCAAAGTCAAAACCTTCGCCATGGACGATATATACGCCATCAGCTTATTTCTTATGCATCTTGAGCTCTCTTGTTATCTCCTTAAGTACTTTGTTATGGATACACGCAGAAAAAAGTCCACTGATACCGGGTCTAATGACGATCCTGTCGCAATATCATCTATAACTTGTAGAATTCGTTGTTGAATGTGAAATGTACATCCAAGGTACGTCTGAGAATTATATCCTTTAGATAATATCTAGTTATAATCGTATCCAATCCGTAAGTTTAAATATAGTTCAAAATGAAGGGAACTAATTCATTTAGTGAAAAGTTCGAAATA